TTATACTTTCAATAGTCTGGAAATTCTAGGGCTCTCAATGTGAGATGCCATTTTAGTTAACATTTTGAATGTATAATCAATTTCAAAAGCTGATTTCTCAAATCTTTAATATATTCTTTAAGTACATAAATAGCCAGGAACCCATATTTATGTAACCTGCAGATACATATGAATTTTTAGCAGAGTATATTGATTAGCAGCTGACTATTTAGGATTCTAGTGACGAAGCGTCTTAAAAAACCCCAAGTTTTGAGAAAGACGCATTTGAAATGTTACTGTGTTATTTGATGGATAATTTTACCTTTCTTTTGAGACATATTTTAATATATTGTAGCAATTTTTATTTTAAAAATGGACCAAAAGATCTAATTCATCAACGTTCAAAACGTTTAAAAGGGTCCTTCACATTCGTATCATAGGCCTTTTCTTTAAAAAAAAAATGTTTGTCTGTGAAAGTGATGTTATTCTTATGAATGTAGAAGGACTTGAATCTGCCACTTTATTTTAAACATGATGTTTAAACACAAGCTATTAAGATTTTAAACAACCACAACTCTGTGGACGGATTTTGATGATTCTTTCTGTTTGGTCCAAATTTTACTGAATAGATTCAAATTAAGGTGGTAAAAAAAACACAACTGATTTCGGACTTTCCAAATTTTCGCTATACCCACTATCCCTCCCCCCCTTACCTCGCAAATAGAAGTCCCCCCCCCCATCCCCCAGTTAACTAACACCTACAATAACTGACTTTGGCCCTCTGGCTTACCCAAGTACCCTTACTTCCTGAATGCAGGTGTCTTTTACGCACCTCTCGATATAATCTAGATCTATTAGGAGGTGTGTTTTGATTCTTCCTATCTGGGTCAACCGGATTGAGAGGGATACACCGTCACAGCTTAAAGACCAAGACATTCGACACAACGTCACAGCAGACCAAGACACTCGATTAAAAATTCTACCCAGTGGGAATCGAACTTGGGTCTTCTGCGTGTGACGAGCGAAATGCCTGACCGTTACACAGCAAACGTAATACTTTCACGAAAATAGTTGGTTTTCTATATCAGTTTATTTGGACGAACAGAGCTAATTTAACACAAATCTGCCCGTTACTTATTGTCAGGCACAGAAGGCTATTTTTCACTGCTACACCCTTGAAAAAAAAGAGGTGTCAACATTGCTTGTTCGACTACGTTTAAAGAGCCAAAGACATCTTTCTATATGGATGTAAAAGAAGCATTCTGTCTCAGGATAAAATGCTACATTACTATATATTGTAGTAATAATACTTTTATACTTAGAAAGTGATATATTCTCAACACGAGTTGTTTTTGCAAGGAAAGTTGTTCAACGACTGTGGCGATTCTAAATTCTAAAAAGAAGACTGAAGGCTGCTTCGACATAAGATCAGCCCGGATTAAATTGGATATAACATTCCGTCTGACAGACGAAGATATTCGCAAAAATAACTTTCACACTGAAGAATCGACCTTACACTTGCTGTGTGCAACAAAAGAAGATACCAACCATTGCAGCACAGGCGCCAGTGCACTCCGTGAGAAGGATAAAGGAGGAAAATAAAACATTTTAGGCCCTTCTCTGTGATAAGAATAGTCTCTCTCATTTTGTGTTTAAAGTGTAAACACAAAACTGATTAATTGCACTAGGTTTCAATTAAAGGAAATAACACAGGAACCGTTTTTCTACGCAATGTAATATAATGATGCAATAAAGAAGGATAACATCACAGCTAAATTTTTCCCATATCACAATTTTCACAAATAACCAATCACAATGATTACACACACCCGTACATGCCGAATTGAGGCCCATGCTGGGACATAGGCTAATACAGTCTTAATATGCAAATCATTGAAAATGTGGGACCAATGAGAAAAAGAAACAAAAGTATAAAAAATCTGCCGTACATTTTAAAGGGAATGACATTGTTTTAAACTACAAAGGGAATACAGATTGTCTCAAACTCGAAAACCGCCAAGATAAAAGTGAACCCCCCCCCCCCTCCAACAAACAGCAAAAAACGTATGGCAAAGTCTTTTTGGTAAAAACATGAAGAAACCATATGGGCATACAAATAAATAATTTGTTACATGAATCCGCATTAGAACTGTCAGTTTTACAAAAGATGTTCTACATGGGCCCCATCACGCGCAATGCATTTTCGTGCTCTGACTAAAAAATGTAGAGCGTTCTCAAAATGCTGTGGCGCGGTTGCTCTCACAAGTTATTAGACACACTGATTACTGAAAGTGTTGTATTTCTAACGCGCACATCTCCCTGATTGGAATTTTCTTGTCATTCTGTTGCACTGTGCACATGTAACAAATTATTTATGAATTTTTTCTAGTCACGTAGAAATGAGCCTCGTTGTCGAACCAAACAGACAATTCTCACTGTGTCGCAGTTACCTTAAAAATCCAAACACATTGTTTTCCTCTCCAAACCATAGTCCATTCTTTAGTGGACAGAAATATGGTGCAGTTTCATTTTCAAATCATGCTTTACATAAGCTTAGTTGTTCACGCTACATCTTCGAACAGACTGCTTAGACATTGTCACAACCGACGCGCGAACCGTTTCCACATTTTTATTTCGCGCTGTTTCGTTAACTGTTTGATTGAGGACGGGCATTTTGGTCATACGACAACACTCGAAGACGTGCTATTTGACGTATATCATCTCTATTCATGCAGATTGTTCAGTTCTGTTTTCTTTGTATGAAATTTTAAAAGGCAAGCAACAGCATACATACAATGAAATATGCCCATTTGTGTTCCGATCTGCGTATGATGATTCAAATTGTGCCACATCATTGCATTTGGTCTGCTGTTTATAGGGCATATGTGTCCTCTTCTTCCTTAGGAAGTTAATAATTACTCCCCCCCCCCCTTATATTGTTTACTAACAGACAACCTCCCACTCTAAATGGTTCGTACCTTTCTGAAAGTCCACTAGATCTCAATCAAGATCTGAAAATTATTTGCAGACTTGAATGCAACGTATTTCTAAAGCAGAGGACCTTTTCTGGACTATTCTAAGACACGACCGAGACAGCGGTGCCCGTCTTAGCTGTTCAAATGTGTGCATAGAATATATCGTCCGGATGATCAAATGTAATTCCTCTTACATCTGGTACCGATCCATGCAAAAATGAGGAAATTTTTTTTTTCTTTTTTTTTTTTTTCGGAAATCGAGAGTGGTACAGTAAATAAGTCTACGCATAAGATTTTAAACATTCTCTCAGACATCACAAGCACGCGTTTTGTAGAATTTGTACAGCGAAATAAGTCGGTCACATTCAACAAAATGCGCCATAAATTTTTCTTTCCGCATACTAGCGTTTAATTGAGGGTTTACTGTTATTTTCTCAACAAATGTTGCTCCATCTATCTGGAACTCTCTCCAACGACATTAGGAGGAGACAAAATTAGAGGTAAAATTCAAAATTCGTTCCAAAACACACCTTATGATAGGCCATTTTGATTATTAGTCCTTATTCACAGTGTTCTTATGTTCATATTATTATTAATTGTGAGATGCGTATCGTTACAAACTGAACTGTGATAGCATGAATGATTACTTATGTGCTAGCGTTAACCTAAAAAGCATAACTATTGTGCGAGCTCATTCACTGTATTTTGTTTTGATATGAAGGTATTGTAAAGCATCTAGAGCTGTATTGTACGGGTAAGCGCTATATATATAAATTATCTGCAGTCTTCCTCCTCCTCCTCCTCTTCCTCCTCCTCCTCCTCCTCCT